AAGCCGAGTGCCCTCACCAGGATAAAGGCGGTTAGCCATCTGTTTGATGACCTTGGTCAAGCTTTCGGCTTCTGGTGTGTCAGCCGTTGGGATGTTGTGCCGTCTTGTCGCGTTTTCGGCGAGGATCGCTGCCATTGATCGAGTCGGCTGTGCTCCTATATCCTCGCCATTCAAGAGATTTGCGACAGCAGTGACACCAGATTGTAAACGTGCATAGATTGCCTTGATGAGGTGTAGTGGATGGGTCAACCGTGCGCATTGTCTCCAGGCAATCTTGTTCTCCTCCACGGCCAGAGCCAAGCACGCATCTAGGTGAGCAATAACCTGTCTCCCCTCCTCTGACGAAGCGATTGCGATTGAGGTGCTAGCCACGGTAGCCAGACACGAGAACTGTGCCTTATCATCCGTTTGAGCGTAACGGGCGACGCAATGCAGAGCTCGAGTCGTGATGGCCTCCCTCTAAGTATAGGAGAACAGATTGATGCCGACAGAAGTCACCCGAAGGTTAAGACGATGAAACATGGCGAGTTTTCCTTCACCATTGATGAGCAAATGAATGACCATGGAGTTCCAGCCGACGCCTGCCCGGAGCAACCGATTTTTCGAGTTGAGCGATAACGTCATCGGCTTCATAAGCTGGTCGAGGATTAAGCCATCCCGGTTTTTTATTCCAGAGAACAGGCTGTGTTTCGCTGCTTGGCGGGTGTGAGCTTGGAAGTAAGCGCAGGCTGATTTTCATATTTCACTCGTAAGTCCTGAAAGAGCTTAGGGTTATTTCGCGGTAATGACAGCAATGTCCCTGTACTTGTTAAGAGCCTCGGGGAGAACCTATTCGAAGGCGGATAAGCAAGGGCAAACCAAGTTCTGGCCCAAGGGATGTGGCACAAGTTGTAATATTCGAGATACTCGGAGACGGTACGGAGACGGTAGTTGTATGAAGAGCAATTGGAAGACAAGGGTGGCTGGTCCTTGAGAAAGTCGTATGTTCAAGACAACTTCATGACCGGAGGTGGATCAAAGGGTGAAATAAAAGACCGTGAGCGAGTCTACAATTGGGTAAGATATTGCTCAGTATATATAGCTATCTGGACTTATAGCTTCTCCGATGTACTTAAGCTCCCCATTAGACTTGAAAGCATTGAACAACCACGATTCCAGGACGATGTTTTTCAATGCCGCATCCAATTGTGAGATGTCGGTGGGATCGGAAGTCGAAAATCGGCAAGGCATGGGCTCGTCATGAATACCGTGACCGAAGGAGCCTCTGTACGGCTCGCGTTTAACCCAAGTCACTGGCCATGCTGTAAACGGACCGACACCACTATTGACCAAACAGTCCCACGCTGCCAAAAGGAAGTGTGTCTTCCAACTCCAATTTTCGTCCCGTAGCTGACCCTTGTTGCACGATCGTTCGGTAAAGACGTTCTTTACAGACTGACCTTGCCTTCTTCAAAAACCACTGGCTGTTGTCGGTTTCGCAGAAGATGGCGAACAAACCATCTTTGCCCTTGAAAAGACGGACTTGTTTGCCCGGATAAAGAAGCTCCGACATTTGGCCCACGACCTTGTTCAGACCTTCCGCTTCTGCAGAGTTCGCCTTGGGCACGCTGTGACGACGGTTGGCGTTTTGCGCTAGAATGGTCGCCATCGATCGCGCCGGTTTAACAGCTAAATCTGCACCGTTGGAGAAGTACTCGGCAACAGCGGCCACGCCAGCTGGCAGCCGGTTGTGCACTGATTTAATGAGGGACAGCGGCTGGACTAACCTCGAACGCTTTTTCCATGCAATCTTGTTTTCCTCCGCCGCTAGAGCCAAGCACGCATCCAGGTTGGCAATCACCTGTTGCCTCTCCGCAGACGAGAGAATTGCGAGCGAGGTGTTGGTGGCGGTCGGCAAACAGGAGAATGGGAGTTTGTCGTCTGCTCGGGCGTATCGCGAGATACAATCCAACGCTCGCATCGTGATCGCCTCTCCCCAGCTGTACGACAACAGGTTGATACTCATTGAGGTCACCCGAAGATTCAGGTGGTGGAAGATTGCCATCGTGGATTGTTGATTGACCATAAGATGAATCACCATCGAGCTCCAGCCGACGCTCGGACGTATCAAGCGGTTTCGCGAATTGATCAATGGCCGGAGAGGATGCAGAAATCGATCGATAATAGGTCCGTCATTCTGCCGAAGTCCAGACAATACGTTGATTGCTGCGGATCGAAGAGGCTCGACAAAGAATTGTGCCCTTTACGGAGGATTGAGGCGGGCGGAGGGAACGGTTTCGGCGTGGTGCTTCATTCGTAGCTCTTTGTAAGGCACGCAGTAGTTGAGTTACACTAAGTCCAGTATGACTTGGACACCAACCAGCTCTGTTACTATAGCTGATGTTAATGTAGAAGTTGTATAGCAAGACTTATGATAATCACTGAGTGTTTACAGTATCAGGCTGATACACAAGGTATTAGGTTCGTGTGATGATATTATCTACGACTAGCGGTTATGTGTAAGCTGGTTAAGTTGATGGTCGAAGTGGTGATGTGGTTAAAAGGCTAAGTACAAAGTTGATACAAGGCAGGTGGCGCTTCTAGTTACTCTGGTAAAGCGTGTCATGTCATAAGAAGTCATAGAGGCGAATATCACAACTGAAATAAACGGCTATATATACACGTTTTGGAATGGTGGCGAATGTCAGTTTGCCCTAGGTAGCCCATGAAGTCTCTAGGGTTTGTGAGTAGTTGCATTGTTAGCTGCATCCTTTGCAATGTCAGCTCAAGCAATGGCGAGACGGGCAAGGTTTGTGGCAGGGCGGGCATAACTGGCATCGCTAGAGGAGCGCATAGCGATTAGCTAGAGGCTAAGTCCTCCTTAGGCAGAGTTGGCAGATTTTGGCAAGCGCAGCAAGCGGGCAGGCAGAGTTGGCAACTTGAAGGCCTTTGAGATTCCGATAGATGTGGGTTGTGACGTGTTTATTAAGCTGTCAGTAAGCCTTTGTAAGCACTGACGGGCTTAAGCACAGTGAGCGGTAACTCAGCTGTTGCGAGGTAGAGGAATCAGTTCGGCTTCTGTGTCATTTACAACAAGTTCCGGTTCTAGACTTCAAGGCGATTTATCACAAGTCAATTCAGTTACAAGTCAATTCAGTTACAAGGCTATTCAGTTACAAGTCCAGAAGGCTCCTTTTGTATTTGGTTTTATCTTTTCAGCTACTAATACAACAGTAGTGTTCCAAACGAATTCCAGACAAGTTCTAATGCTTCTTCTTCTTCTTCTTCTTCTTCTTCTTCTTCTTCTTCTTCTTCTTCTTCTTCTTCTTCTTCTTCTTCTTCTTCTTCTTCTTCTTCTTCTTCTTCTTCTTCTTCTTCTTCTTCTTCTTCTTCTTCTTCTTCTTCTTCTTCTTCTTCTTCTTCTTCTTCTTCTTCTTCTTCTTCTTCTTCTTCTCGTCCTACTCGATGGCCTGCCAGACTCGAAAGAGAGGGGCGATGGCAGCCATGGGTGCGGGAAGGCCGTAGCCAGGAGGGCTGTGTATATATCATCAGTCTCCTTACACTCTTGATACAGTTCCGGTACTTGTCGTTTGATCTCGGCAATCTGGCTTATGTATAACGTCATTGGTCACTCGCCTTTGCATCTTGGATGACTTCCTCCTGCCCCATACACTGCAGGCAAGCTATATCGATCTGCATCGCTCTAGCCACCTCGTCACACATCACAATGTTACCACAAATAACGCAAGTGTCCGATGAGTCGAGATCGGGGGCAACGCAATAGTCAGCCAGGCGTTCATTCATAGGACTGTCGTCCTCTTCCATTCCCACCTCGCGCCAGGAACCAACCAGCATGGTCACGAAAGTCAAAGTGGCCATGAAGCTGTCGAAAGTGAAGACGAAAACGCGCTCTTCTTCGGAAAGCCTTCCGGGGTAGGTACGGGCGAACAACCGTTTGTTCAGAGCCATCGGAAAATCATCAATGACGTTGCCGAAGGTAAGTTCTGATTCAAGAAGATAGCGGAGTTGACGCGTTCAATAATGAACGATTTCGCGGTAATGACAGCAATGTCCCTGTACTTGTTAAGAGCCTCGGGGAGAACCTATTCGAAAAGGCGGATAAGCAAGGGCAAACCAAGTTCTGGCCCAAGGGATGTGGCACAAGTTGTAATATTCGATATACTCGGAGACGGTACGGAGACGGTAGTTGTATGAAGAGCAATTGGAAGACAAGGGTGGCTGGTCCTTGAGAAAGTCGTATGTTCAAGATAACTTCATGACCGGAGGTGGATCAAAGGGTGAAATAAAAGACCGTGAGCGAGTCTACAATTGGGTAAGATATTGCTCAGTATATATAGCTATCTGGACCGACTGTAGCTGGGCGACAAACGCTAGGGAGTTTGTCCTTTACGGCACAGCACTAAGTCGAAAGGGATTTAAACTTGATTTGAATCATGCCAAGTCCTCAAAAATGAGGAACTTGTAATTTGTATTCAATCTGAAGTCCGGCCGAGATGGAAAAAGATGAAATGATTCAAAGTCAGAAACTGAAGAGGCGACGCGGATAAAGGTACTTTGAAAGGTTTGATTGGATATACTGGTTGCAGCTAGTGAGCTAGTGAAGTATACATCGACTATCTAACCCACTATATTTATACCTTGGTCTTCTTACATTGATTGACCTTGATCCCGTAGAGCTGTATCTCGAGCCTGCGCTGTGCAATCAAGTCTGTATCCCCTTTCACTTTGCTCATTATAAGACAAAATTACCTATCTGGGTTGACCGTACATGCTGTCCGCAATTTTCTTTGTGAATGCAGATTACAAATGCGGATTACAGGTCTCCCGCTGCCAAACAAAGAGTTCTGTGTAAGAAGGATAGAGAAGATGAAAAGTACTTGCGACCCATGTCAGGAAGCAATGCACACTGCGTAGGAAAAATAATAGACAAAAAAGGATAGCAAAAAAGGATAGCCAAAAGGAAAGCCAAAAAAGACTGTCTGTAGGAACAACTGCAAAAATACCGCCGAGGGGAATCGAACACCTGCCGAGCGCAAACACACCGTCATACGGATGGGAAGCGCCCATTCTACCATTGAACTACAGCGGTAGTCAGTCTTTCTTCCCATTTCTCTTGATTGAGACGCAATACAATGACTCGCTAACCCCCTCAGCGGACAGCGTCGATATTTGCCCGATCGCAGTGTCCCCTGTTTGATGTTCCTTTCTCTCCTGTGTTTCCATCCTGGTTGAATAGATATCCGCCTTATATCGCTGCACAGCGTATCAGCACGGCTATAGTGCATTATCACTTTATATATTACGCCATCCAGCAACACCATGTCTTCGCTACCTACCGTGGAACGTAAGCTGCTACCACCTCACTCGATCATGCCGCGCTTCCAAAACTCATAAATGTTTGCCCAATTTTTTATTGGTAGAGCTTCGGCCAGGTATGTATAGCACTCTTCCCGACATTTGCCTCCCTGGTTCCTAACATCCGGCAATCCTTACTCACCCGTATGCAGCTATCGTACAGGCACAGGCCTTTATCAGGAAGCAGGCATTGCAGGCAGCGCGGTGCAAAGCCCCTTCTGCGCCCACTCGCTCAACATATCTTCGCACCAATGATGGAATATACCAGTCCCTCATCGCCGTGCTCAAGCATCTCCGTCAAGACGTGACAGCACTCTCACTCGCCTTTTCTGGCAAATCCGTCACCGTCGACGCCGCTCTTGCCCAGCTCACAAAAGTCACGGACCATGTAGGCCGACTCGTCGCATGCGTGATTGCACTGCCTGCAGAAGGATGCCTCATACAGGAATGGAGGCAAGATGTCGCCGAGATTGTCGATCGTATCGACAAATATTACAAAGCTCTAGTGGCCCACTGCGACAACCCAGTCGACCAGCAAGCTTCCACTTCGACATCGACTCCCCCTCCCGCACCGTATCTTGTGCACACTTCGTCGGTATGGGCCGCCATCGACAAGATGCTCCGTTCATCCAGCAAGGACGAGCCATCGGCAATCAAGAAGAGCTGGAAGCAAGATGAGGAATTAGTCAATGATGCGTTGGGCGAGTTCAAGGATCTGCTCGAGGAGGACGAAGGTGTCGGTGAGGATGAGGGTTTAAACGAGCACAACGAGTGGGCCGAGCTGGAGAAGAAATTGAACGGTGGGGGTGATTTGAGCGAGGGCGAGATGCAAAGAGTGCGAAAAGTGAGTGCTGTACTCGACCTTAGGCAGGTGATCGCACCTGACGCTTCGTACTTTAGCTGGACACGGTGGTCAGGCTCATCGTGGCGCTCCATAAACGGTTCTCGACACGCTTCCTAGATATACCGGAACTTTTGGCGCTCCCCGACCAGCTAAACTTGTCGCATGCAATCAGTGAAAGCTTTGATGCTTGTGTAGCAAGTCTCTACCCCCCACAGAACACAGGGGAACTTCGAGATGCCGCTCAATCGATGATCGACGATGCTACTAGGATGTGCAGGTTATCGCTGGAACAAGCTGAACTAGCGCAAAAGACGGAGGAGTCGAGCCTGGTGGAGAAACTGGAAGGCTTGCACCTAGCGGAGGGCACAGATGAAGGGAAACCGTTTGACAAGGACGTCAAATGGTTGACGTTTTGGCTAGAGCAGATCGAAAAGGCAAGCCGCACGTGGAAAGGCCAGGATGCATAGAGGACAGACGCAGAGGACATATGCTTCGGCGCTACACTACATCGACATGGTGTATCATGTATTGGATGCGCTAAGTGGGCAATATATATACAACGTGTTACACTCCACTCCGCTGCCTAGTCAATCACAATGATCTCGGGTGAACTTTGCTTGCGACGACCATGTTTACTTGGCGGTATCACACGTGTAGTCTTCTTCGCCCCTTCTTGCCGGGCTTGAAGCGCATGTACTAGTTTCGGTATGCCCGCGACATCATCCAAATCCCAGGCTGCTTTCACCCTGGCATATAGTACCGAGCAGTCCACCGAATCGCATCGGACCTCATCGCTCATTGGTGTAGACGAACAGGAGGCACATATCCGCTGAGCTGATATCACACGCGACTCAGCCAGATGCAAGCGAGATAGTAGCACATGCATGGTGGACGAAACGTTTTGCTCGGACCGACAACGCTCGCAGACGTTCAGTTCGAGATCTAATAAAGTAAAGAGAGTCAGTTCTAGAATGACTCCAATGAATCACTTCCACTCACCCCGCTTCTGATTGATCTGGCCGCATACCAGGCAATGAAGACTACTGAACGCGTTGTCCAACGTCCGGCCGACAGCCTTTCCTTTGGCGTTATGCTGTCTATATCGATTCTGATTGGACGCAAGCTGCCGCTTGGGCATGGAGTTGTACCATACCTCGCAGTCAACTCCAATTAGGTTGAGTATCCGATTGAGCGGTGGTATGAGTTGACGTCGAATGTAGTATTCCGCATCAAGCTTGAGGTCACTGAAAGGGTCAATGGAAAACGGTTAGCGAGGAGAAAACGTACATCTGACGACTTGCCACACGTACCGATTATTCAGAAGCTCTTCGGGAGCTACAGCTCTGTCAACGAGTCGTGAGCCCTCGCCAATAGTAATCACATAGGGTACCCGCTCTCCGTACTCTGCTTCAGCTCTGGGATCTTCCGTGAGTTTCCGGCTTGCGACCATGACTCCTGGCGGCGGCGGTCCTCTTTCGCTGATTGGGTAATGGGCAGCATTAGTATCACCCAGACAGGCGAAGGATTCCAGCAGCGACTTACGAATAAGAACCTAGCTTGACTTCTTTGGCTAACGTAAAATCTTGTATGGAGACCTTCCCCTCCAATAGCTTGCTCCATTGAGTTGTGCAGTATTGCTTGATACGAGAAAGGTCTTGCGAGCGGAAGAGCTCTCTGATTGAAATAAACGCCTGTTAGCCTTCGACTCCAGCCCTCCCTTTCACATGGCAGCTCACTTGATCACAGACTCGACCATTTTCTGACCCGCCGGAAATCCATCCCGCCTCACTGTCTCAATTCCCTTGGCGTCGAAACCTGGCTCTGTCTCGTCGATAGATTCGTATTTGAAGCCGACGTATCTTTTCTTCGCCATCAATAGGGACTTTGTGTAGACCTGACCAAGCCGCCGAATCAGCAACTGGATCGTATGGGAAATAACACATGCCTTACTTTTTCAAACTTCAACTTGACGGGTTTGGGGTTGGCCGCGGTCACAGCGTCAGCCATCTCATTGCCAATCCGGAAAGCTTGATCCTTTGTGCGGCCTGGAAGATGAACGAACAAGGAGTCTGTGTCTCCATAAACGACCTATGTGCACAGTCAATAATCGTTCCGAAAACAATAGGTGAAAACCGACAAACCTCTGCTTTCCAAGCAGTATTCAGTTCGATTTGCTTGATGGCCTGGCGAGAGGAGCGTCAGCCACCGTGGCGGCACCATTCCCATATTTTGTGACTTACCTTTTCCAGCGTTTCCCTGCCCGTCTGGACGATGCTATCCGCAATCTCAACACATGGCATACGACCGGAAAAGCTGGCCCCTGTGTAGCCGTATGTTACGTTCTGTATGGCGTTGGCGATACCTCAGTCCTAGTCTCAGTGACTTACACCAAGACACTCACTGCCATGAGCTTGAGACCAAGCTGTCGTGCGTTCAGTACTTGTAGCAATGCCTGTACCTGACGTATCAGCGAGCGAATCCAATGAGGCAAGCAGCATGCTCACCTTGTCGCCCTTGGCTGTTTTCATTCCTTGTTTTACCATGACACGTGTCTCCAAAATCTCCGTCAACATCTTGGCCAACAGACTCCGTCGAAGGTGCTGTTTTGCGTACATGAGGCCGTTGGGTGATACTTTACTACAGCAGTCAGCGCCTTGTCTTTCCACGACGGTGACATGCGACTCACTAGACACCTCGTTCTGCAACAACTCTAGCTCCCCCGGTGGCAACACCATATCCATCCACCCTAATTTGCTGGCTTTCTTGAAACGCTCGACTCTGCCTAGACATGTCGAGTAGCAATAGTTGTACCCGATCATGACCGAAGGATATAAAGACTGGAAATCGAGAACGAGAACTGGATCCACGTAGAACTTGGATTGAGGCTCGAATATCAGGGGCTGAGCTTCCGCGGCATTTTGTTTTCCGACCTGGGGGGATCTAAGATCAGCTGACAACCGATACCAGCGAGATATGAATGTGCTTACCGACTCTCGAGACGGGGAGATAAGAACGAACGCTTCCGGTTTCGCGATACGGAACATGAACGATTCCACTTTGAATTGCGAACCGCGGCTCATGACTGAAGCGAAATCGACGCCAAATACTCGGGCAAACTCGCTAAAGAAGATAGCAGCACGTTAATCGACAGGTTACTCGCCCGAGATGGCAATGACGTACGCATTCTTTGTAGTTATCTCCGCTGCGTCCATCATCTCGATGTACATGACCGTCTTGTCGATAAAGTATCGAAGTACCTTGTCAACGTGCATTGGATACTTGCTTTTGAACCAGGCGGTCAGAGTTGACGCGGAATAGTGCGGGAACCTGATTGAAAAAGGCAATTGGCACATGCGGCACGTAGTCGGATTGTACCACTCACCTCTGCCTCAAAAGATGGAAGGCCACGTTTTCGAAAGAGTAGCCCAACAAGTTGAGTTCACCTCGAAGAATACGCCAAATGTTGAAAACATGTCTTCCGATGACTTTGAATGTGGACGTATGCGTGCGATCATAGTTGCCAAACCCACGTCCACGACTGGTAACCGACTTGACTCGGGATATCTCGTCTGCCAGATCCATACCTGGCCAAAAGAGATAGCAATATCAGCGGGACGACACGTAAGCGAAAGAACTCAGGCTAAAGGTAGTGTACACTACGACGGCGAGGAAAGCGCTCACCAAACTGATGTTGCAGCCTCTGCGACAGGTATCCCCATGACGACGAATGAACTTCCCATCCAGCGAGAATGTCTGGATTCCATTCGCGGACCTTGTCGATGATATGGTTCATGAGCTCGAGTTCGTCTTCGACGTATGTAATGTCAACTTCGGGAAGGCTGATCCTCCCTGCTTCCAGCCGCTTGTTCTGAATAGCAATGATGCCCACA